CCTGCTCATTTAGAATCTGGGTACTTTTAAAAGATACTGCTTGCTTATCTCTACCATCCTTTAAATTTCATTTAAACAGTCCCCTTAATGACAACACATGTTAAGTAGTAAGGATGTACTTCTTTATACTTTATTTTAAATCAGCTGCACATTAGTTCTAGTATTTTAGAATTTGGTGATTGATTGTATTCAGCTTATCTAATGCATTTATAAACTCGTAAGTCATAGTAATAGTCACTCCTCAGTTGTTTTTTTCCAGGCTCCAGAGTTCCAGTCTTATTAGTGTCCCTTCACAAGGAAGGACTCTACCTCCCTGACCAACTCTCATTGCCTTTTCTGTAACTTGAACTACTCTGTGTCTTTGAGATGTGTAGATCAGAACTATATGCAGCACTCACTCAACAAGACTGCAGAGATTCTGTGTAGTTGTGAAGTGCTGTCCCCTGTCTTGTTACCCATACTCCTACTAACAATATGAAACATCTTTTCATTGGCTGTCAGCACACACTGACAATTCTGTTAAAAATCTGTCCAATTAAGACTTTCCTGTCTCTTTCCTGAGTTTTGCCTGAATAAAGCATGATTTATTTTTCTCTAGATGCACTGATGATCACCTGCCAACTTTTTATCCATTCATTGAGTTTTGTGAAGTTCTTGTGGACTTTTCTCCTCCTCAGCACAGCATCATATGAGCTTACCTATAATGCAGGTTGCACTGCATATGCTCTTCTATAGTACACCGATGAAGATGTATTCAAGTGGTCCCAGTATCAGTCTTTGGGAAGGACCCTTTTCAGACTTTTTCTGTCAGAAGTGACCGTTAAGCCCGATCCCTTGCTTGGAATCTTTTAATTGGTTTTCAAGTCATGAAAAGGACATTTCTCCCAATTCCAGATTAGGTTCTCTAATAAAACTGTGCCAAAGAATTCTTATGCGTGTGCTTTTATGACACTATTTTAGTCCTCTCCAAGCTTTGTGAGATTAAATTCTCCTTTACACAAGTCCTACACTTTTCTCAGCTGACTATGTTTATCCTTGCTCTCAGTAAATCTACTCTTTATTGCTGACTTGACGATCCTATCAGGATTGGAAATTGTTAATTGGTCTGTAGCTCAGTCTTCCCTCTAGACTCTCCTTTTTATAGATGACAGCTGTGTTGGCAATCTGTCAGTCCTTTGACACAGAGGCAATCTATAACTATAGGTGAATGCACCTTGCACAGCAGTTCTGCAACCTCACATCTGATTTCCTTCAGAGCTCTTTAATAAATGCTATTTGGTACCAAGATCTCACCAACTTCCACCTTACATATTTAAAGCAATTACACAGAAGGTGCTAGACTATGTTTATCTGGATCTTCTGGCCTAGCTGCTACAGAGAATTTGGCTTCTCTGTCACTGTCTATATCAGTGGGTGCCCCTTCTTAACTTTGTTAACAGTTCTCTCACTAGCTCCCTACCTGGTCACCTGTCTTCTGTGTAATGAAAGAATTCTGTGCTACCGTGCCACCACTTTGAGCATCATCTTCAGACGATTTTTCAGACCTGTTATATCTACAGCTGATCTGTGATGTTCCATGAGTTTTCCTGTTCCCTTCGTCAGCATTCAAATACACACAACTTCCTCTGAGTAACTTTCCTACTGAGCCATGTAAGTATTTTTTCTCTTTTTGAGTTGTGGCATAAGTTCTACCTGGGCCTGTAATACAGCATTTAACATTGTCCAGGCTGGTTGCAGGCATCTTGCTACTTGGACTGTTCCTCCTTTTGTTGTTTGTTGTGAGATTTTTGTTTTATTAACTGCCTTTATTACTACATTGTTCTGACTTATTAGTTCAGATTTCACTTTGACTGTCCTCTCTTGCTACAGTATTTACTCTATTGCAGTTGCTGTTTTAGTCTACCATGAATACTGCTTATGCTAGTACTCATGCACTACTCAACCTGGCAGCATTTCCACACCAGCAGTCTAGCTCCATTTCTGTGTAAGATGTAACCTGCTCTTCCTGTCTTTTTCCTGTCCTAAAATGTTTCCCAGTTCTTAACATACCTGAAAGAGGAGACTGAGGGGTGACCTCATTATGTCTATACATTTGTAAAGGGTGAGTGTCAGGAGGAAAAAGCCAGGCTCTTCTCTCTGATGTCCAATGACAGGACAAGGGGCAATGTGAGCAAGCTGGATCATAGGAGGTCCAACCTGAACATAAGGAAAAACTTCTTTACTGTGAGGGTGAGAGAGCACTGGAACAGGCTGCCCAGAGAGGTTGTGGAGTCTCCTTCTCTGGAGACATTCAAAACCCGTCTGGACGCGTTCCTTTGTGACCTGGTCTAGGTGATCCTGCTCTTTCATGGTCCCTTCCAACTCCTAAGATTCTGTGAATACTGCTGAGCCAGGAAAAGAAGAAACCTAGGTTGAACATTTGTAGTGTATAATTTTATATTAATGGCTCAACATGTCTGAGGTGATCAAGGATTATATACACATACACTGTTTCAAAACAAAGTGTTGGCAAGGTGCATGTAGTCATTAAATTATAGTTTCCACCATGGTATTTCTCTTAACAGGAGCTGAAGAACCAATAGCATTTTGTCCACATCTCAAAACCTTGTAACAGACTTCAGGTGAAAAATTTTGGCAATGCCCTTTGGCTTATGAACTAAAGTTAAAAAGGAAGCTGTAAACAGAAGCACATTATAATGAAATTTATTTAAATTCTTGAGCGCACTATATTAATAACTTCTTAGCACTTTCCAGTTAGGTGTTTACTGTATGTTTGTATAAATTACACATTCATTGCATAAAACTGCATTCATTTCTCTATCAGCATACTATATAAATTACCACAAAAACAGATGAACCAACCGAAGATTCTTGAATACATGTAACATTGGTGGGCAGATAATATCAGTAATAGTTTATCTTCATGGTAAGCAGCTCTAAATGAATCCCTCTTAAATTCACTTAATTAAGAAGCTGAAAAGAAAGAAAACATGATTAAATGCTGAAAAGACATATAAAACATAAAATCACAATTATTTTAAAATAAGCAAGGACTTCAAAACATTCATTTGAAAAGTGATTTGACATTTGTGTAATAATCTCTTTTAAGTTTTTATATCCCATTTAGTAATTACTAAGCAAGCATGAAAGTTAGAAAATAAAACTTGAGTGACTGAAACTTAAATTGGCATATTTAAAAAAATTAAAAAGCAAAATGCACTTCAAACAGCTGTTCTCTAATCAAATTCTGCATCTGCTCTTACTACTTAAAGTGAGAACTACCTCTCCTCAAGAGATGTTTCAGATTTAAAACATTCTTCTTTTACTATTGAAGTGGCCCCTGAGTGGGGAGGGCATAGAGGACTTAGCACGGCTCTGTAGGGTTGCAGACTCTTAAATTCTTAGTATTTTAATAAATGAAGAAGTTTCAGATGACATTGCTGTTTCTTTACCCCTAGAACGAAACTTTTTATAAAAAGTAGATATATATTGCATGTCATACCTTTCTAAGTACTTTACCAAAGAAGAGTTATCTCATAAATTGGGAAATGGGAACACAAGGAGAAAGACTTGTGCACAACCATAGAATGAGTTAACTGTACAAACCAAAAAGCAATGAACTATGGAATGGAGAGGTTTCTTCACTGCCTCTAGCTTCGCATGAAAGACCTTTCATCTCCTTATAGATATGCAGTGTGCTCTTTGTATGCTAGCATACATCTGTTGCAGTAATTTCATCAGTTTTTCATTCATGGTATAATTAATTAATCATTACAAAACATAAGTACAGGTGCCATAAGCTTAAAAGACTGTACCAATATAAAGATGTTCCATGCTGCAAGAAGCTGACAAGCTCATTAGGCAAGACATACAAACCAAGGCAAAACAGATGGCAACTGGTTGGGTGCTGGAGGGTGAAGTGATTATTGAAAGGGAAAAGCTAGCAAGAAGAACTGCATGAAGAGGTGAAATGTAGGGGTGCTGAGTAGAGAAGAGAGTGCTGAGCATGTGAGACTAAATTGATAACCCAGGTCTAGGACACATGTGTAAGGTGATGTATGGGAAAGAAGGAACTAAGAGGAGAAGAGAGAGGAGGAGTACCACTGGTAGAAAAGTTTGGGGTGAAGAGTGGGAAGGGCTGAAGATAATAATATAATAATGAGGCAGGTAGTGTTGATAGGCTCAGGAGGGGCAAAAGACTGAATGATATAACTGTAGGAAATACAAATATGGCAGTGTCATTTTGGTTAAATATGCCATTACCATATCTTTTGTTCATTACTTTCTGTCTACAAGCAAACTGCATCTTTATTTAGCAGCCAAGAGACATGATATAGCATATGGATAAGGTAAACACTAAAAGTTATATGGAAATTATAAAACAAGTTTAAGAGGCTAGATACACAAAGAAGGAAAAATCGTAAGGTGGAAAATAACAAAGTCAAAACTTCATAAAAAATAATAAACTAGAAAGTAGCCAAAAATAAGGAGGTGTGGGGGGCAGGCAGGGTTTCTGAAAAATCTAAAATAACAAATGGGACAACATCTGTTGGGGTAGATCTGCAAAAAGAAAAGGGAAACCATGTCCCATTACACAAAGCAGAGGAAAGCAGAACAGGAAGGTTGGCCAAACTGTACTCATCCAGACATTAAGTGGTTTGAAATGTGTGGAATAGGCAGGAGTCAATGGCAAACTGTAAAACTTAGAGGAAAGCCATGGAAGCAAAAAGAGGCATTCTTAATGGTGGCAATCACAGAAGGAAGACTGTAAGAAGGAAGGAAGTCCTGCTCATATAAGAGCATGCAAACTGTTTGCCACAGGAAGAAACACACCCTTCTTAAGAAATCTGCTATGGGGCTGGACACCTGGAATTCACATCTCCCGTTCTTTAAAGGACTTGAAACTGGCACTGAACATGGACACCTTGCACAAGGAGGAATGTGGAGGTCTGTGGATATTCATGAATTGAGCATGCTGTTGGATGGTTTAGATGAACAGAGACTGAGCTTTTTTGCCTTCCATTTCAATGGGCAGCTTCTTTCTGAAGAACAGGATGTCTAGACACATTAAGAAAAGTAGTATAGGAAATGCTAAATGTAAGATGCTTTGTTCTGACAACTGTGTATTATTGTTTTCCCATCTTTTAAAATAATCCTGATTTCTGCTGTTTTGAAGTTGCCTATTTTGCTGAACACTATAGATCTGAATGTGAATCTTGATGTTTATCAGAAGTAGATTTACCAGTTCATAAACTCTAGGTGACTCAATTTAATTATGCATTAAGTCAGCATGGAACTTCTGAACAGTTGTTAGTAGTGCAAGCATTTATGAATAAATTTAATTTTATAAATCTGCAAATAGTATTTGTTCTACTTACTAATATTTTACCAGTATCTTTACAAGAAATCACTATTCCATTTTATTTACTTGCATTTAATTTCAACTGCTAAGTATTATACAGGATTTCTTTACTGAAACTAATTTAATTACAATGAGGGTTGACATTTCTTATATGCTGTATACAGTAAATGCAAGGAATTTTTAAGCTCTGGAGCATCTTGCAATTTGTCTCTTCTTGTTGCATTGACTGTTTTTCTCTAAGCAGTGAATGAATACTTCATGTCTGGCTTAACATTTATGTTTTTTTTGATGAAAATAAGGCATCTTTTATTTATCATGCTTTCTTTTAGCTTAGTTCATTCTCTCTGCTTGTCAATACAAAACAGTATTCTTCCATTCTGACAATACATAGATGTGAAGGCTATGGATTAACTAAAACAAATCTTCACATTACTTTTTTCAGCAATACTCAAATACAATGCCTATAAAGGATAATCTGACAATGAAACACTCAACTGCAAGTACCAAAAAATTCTTTAAAAAACTACTTAATGCAAGCTAGTTAATTAAAACTTATATGGAAACTTTGAATTTTCAGATGTTCATGTCATTTAAATTCAAACAACAGCAAATATAGATTTGAAAGAATAATTGGAAGTCTCAACAATAATGAAACTCTGCTAAAAGTTTAATCCAGAAAACAAAGCAGAAAAGACAACACAGGACAGTTAAGAAGTTTCAGTCAAAGCTGAAAAAAAAAGATAAACTGAGAAACCTTTTTTAACATCAGTAAACAATGGATAGGACTTTTGTCTCTGTCTGTCCTTTTGAAGAAACCAGTGTTACAAATATTTACATTCCTAACATTCCCAGTAACACACTATTGTGCTACAGTACTGATGTCTTTTGTTTTGTTCTTACCATTCTTGATCATTCTTTTTAATATTCTGTGTGCTTTTTGGACTGAAACTGCCTAAAATGAGGTTTCTAGAGAACCCTCCAAGCTCTCTCCTGACTAACAAAGCTAACGCAAGAGTTATAGTTTTGGTTTATAGTAAAGAATAGTCTCTCTGACATTCCCATGTGTATTTTTTGACAGATAAAATTCTATACTGATATAATGACATTTTATTGCTCAATCACTGAGTACCTGATACTTAATATATCACTTATTCATTTTAAATACTGAGGTCAGAAGGCTTCCAAAAATATTTTCTCTGATATATCAGCACTTTTGCCTTATCCAGAAAGCACTATAAAGTAAAATGTTCAACAGTTGTAAAATAAAATTATTGTATTATCTTTCAACAGTTAATGACAGCAATTAAAAGTTTAGTAAAATGAAAAATTTCACCTAGTTCCCATAAAAAAGGTGGATTAGTACAGACATGAAAAATCCCTGCCATGATAAAAATGGCTCTACCAGAGAGATGTTTCTTGCTAGCTCATCCATCATGATTGTGTTCACTCACTAACTAACCTTCACAATGACTTCCATTTTGCGACACCTCTCCCATTCCAATGCTTTACTGTATAAGGGTATTTTACCAGCATTTTAATTACATCATTTTTTCCCCAACTCTAGCCTTCAAGAAAATTCTGTGGAAGAAAGAATTGAAAACTTAATTGGAAAATTTCTGAAGTAGATGTAAAAAATAGAAACAAAATGTTATTCTCCCTTTCTACACACATGCTCTCTAAAGAGCAAACTTATAGAGCTGTGCTCTTATCCAGCACTCCTCTTGACACTTTTGTTTGTCATAGAAATTAATAATGACAATGGCATTACCAAGGTCAAAGAAATAACAGCGTTTCCAGTACTTTTATTTATGCATATTAGAAAAGGAAATAAGTCTTTCTTCAGCTTTTGACTCCTGCTTTATGTTTAAGCACTTCTGTTTTGGTTGGAGGTCACTGGAGAGAAAGAGGATGCACAGCAAGTTGTGTTACTGTTTCAGTTTTTATTGATGCATTCTGCTTCATAGAAGAATTATTTGGTTGTTCAGTGCCAGAGAACAGAAACAATTTCATATATTTGATTTTTTTTTTTTTATAAGTAGAACAGTGAAGTTGATGCTTGAGATTGTGCACATAGCATTACAACAATTTCAGTTTTCTTTAAATGTTGCTTTAGGCATGCCAACATAAATAAAAAACATTTTTTGTGACACATCATTAGTATGCCTTGTTGTTAGTACAGTTAAAGGCAAAGCTTTCCTAGCCTGAGGACAATTTATCACAGTTTCAAGGTGAAATCTACAACAAGTGAAAGTAAAGAGACACATATTTCACATCTTAAGATATATCTGCACTGGGATCAACTGATGGGACACAGAACTCCTTGGAAGGTACTAAGGAATTCAGACAAAGAGATTATGTATATCAGTGTATATGACTGTAGTTAAAATGCAGGATATGAAATTAAAGGGGGAAAGAGAAAATAAAAGTTTTTTTATATACTTGGTCCTCCTTAGTGTTCTGCATATTCACTTTATTAAAATTCATAAGAACTATACACACAAACCAAAGAACTGTCTCTTAAGAAACGCTATGGCATTGTAATGAAAAAGACATGGTTGAGTGTCAAAGAATCAATAGTGTAAGTTTATTTACAATAAATGGGGTAAGAGTTACCCAAGAGACCAACAGAAACATGAAAGAATTAACACTGGAAAGGAATCGATAAGTAAATTACACATTTGGGAAACTAGCAAATGAAATGTTATAACAGCAAAGCAAAAGGATCAGTTCTAGTGATGGTTTCCAATAATTCTGCCTTAAATGAAGATTTAAGATTGAATGATTAATTTATTCCCATGAAAACATGAAAAATCTAGGACAGTTCAAGTAAGCCTGTAAGATCTTGCTTAATTCTGCAGGAGCAGTAATGCATTGCATATCAAATTAAAGTTCTTGAACTTAAACTTTTTATAGAATTCAGAAGTTCTCTCTCCCTCACCCTCCCCTGCTTCTTGAAGTCCTTTATTCTTAGCTTGGATACTAATGGAAAAGTCTAAAAATCTACAGAGCTCCAACTTCTGCTAGACAGTCCAAACAAAATATGTCTGATATTTCACTAAATTCAGATTCAACTTGGGGGGAGGATAAATTTCTCCCTCCAAATATTTACAGCAAACAGATTAGCAAGAAAAGCAGGAAAACCCTTACATTACTTAAGATTCTTAAAGTTTCCCATTCAGCCAGTTATGCAGTAGACCTTAGCAACTAGTTCTGCATTAACATCTATGGTATTGTGTAGATATGTCAACTCACAAAGCATAGTCATGTTCACAAGGTACTGTTCAACCTCAGATATCGTAGGTATTACACAGCAGTCAAAAAACCCTAGTGCTAACATTCACTATAGCCATGCAAGGTCTGGAAATTGGCACAGTCACAAATGCATGTTGTTAATAGGTAATAAGAACATTCCTAAGATGATAGGACTAAAAATGAAACTACTAGAACTGTCAAGTTTTCTTTAGTATCTGTTAAATTGCATGGCAAGGAACACAACTCCTTTTTTCTTTTAGTAAACTTGTTATGAGAAGATGCAAGTGAATTCAGACCATGGGTTGACATTCTTTGGCAGTGCTTCTCAAGTGGGTTTACAAGCTACAATCAAGCTTAAAAGACAAATCATTCCTTTGTCTTTTAAGTTTAAGACTTAAGCAATTAATGGAAAGTAAGAACACTTCACACTTGTGAAAACTGGATCCTGTCTTTCACCTCAAGTCAGTTGAGCTAGAAGGTAGTCTCCAGAGAGGATGCTCAGAGGCTGTACAGACTGTTCCAGATGGCAAACTAGTAACTCCATAGTGATGAAATCTTGCAATATTATATTACTATTGGGCCCTTCACAGACCACTTCTCTTAGCAGAAATGAGTAAAAAGCAGGGGCAGACCTTCTGTGCATATTTTCAAGGGGAAGAGTCTCCTTGTCTTGAGTATGATGTTATTAAATGCTAAAACAAATCTGAGGTGATTTAAACTAAATGTCAATTAATCTACGTAAAGAGACCAAGCTCAGTAAAGAAGAAAATAGCTCTAAGGTCTCACAGCAAAAACAAATAGAAAAACTTTATGTATTAGCTCTAATGACAGATCTGTTTAAGTTGGTCTTGCAAAGATGTATCTTTACTGGCAGAAAGCAACACAATATAAAACTGGCTGCTGCACTAATACACAAGACCTAGTTATAGAAATCAACATAAAGTATCTGAGAAAAACTGTAGAAGTATTCCTCATACGATTCATTAACAGTGTCTGTAAAAACAGTAGAACTGTTAACATTAATAGGTACAGGTCTTTTGTTCTCTACTTACTTCAAAATATAACTTTCTGAATCTGTTGTATTGTTTCCCTTGCATATATATTTGTATATGTATTAGTTGACATTTCATCATGCCAGGTCTTTCAGCAAAATGTTACTATATCTACATTGCAACACATACGTCATCCACTTACTCTTCCATACATGGTAATAATAATGTAGACTAATATTCTGTGAAGGATTAGTCTACTAGTTTATAGAACCCAATTTCACAGGAAATAAAGCAAATCTCATCTTCCTAAATGCACTGTTGCCAACTAGAGGGGTGAAAGCAGCTCTCATGCATATTATCTTTATTTTAAAGCCTAGTATAGCAGGTTAAGACTATGACAATTGTACACATAGTTTTTCAAAAAATCTCTCTCTCTCCCCCCAGGAAAAAAAAAAGTTAAAAAGGAGCAAAGACTTAAGCAAAACAAAGAACAGCATAGTTCCAGTATGATCAAAATTCAATAGAACAAAATTTCTAATCCTGGAGAATAAGAACATGAGGAAAAGGGCTCTTCCTCATTAAAAATATTTAGCCATCTTACAAAACAAAGCTTTGAGAGAGAAAAATCAACAGGTCTCTGTTTTGTTCCACAAACTTGATGACTCAGATAATGTCACTGTATTGCTTTTACCTCAGTAGCCTGGTCCATCATTACTATAGCACTGAAGACTTTACTTAATTGCACCCTTTCCTCTCGCTAGGCTTTTTCACGCGTATCTGAAAATGGTATCAAGATCAAAAGAAAATGATATGGCTCATCTATTCCTGGCAAGCTACTAAAAAACTCTATAACAGATTAGCAAGGTTATGTGAATCAGAAGTCTAGACTACCTCTGTAAGTAACTTTCCAGCTGAAAGCATCCAGCTACAAAAGGCAAGAACTGTATTTCCTTTATTATTTTTCCACTTTTTCTGCTTGCCAGACAAATAATACCTGTTTAATTGATAGCTGTACATATAATTAAGAGAGAATATACTTTCTTTCCTCTCTGGTGTGGCTGATAAAAGAAGGCATTTTTAGTGATAAATCATAGCATAGCAGTGTACACTGGTTTGTCTTATGTATATCTTAGTTCTGAAGATACACAAATAAATAATAAAGGTTTATAAACTGAAGCATATGTTTGCTTTTGCATTTTTCATGGCTTACTGCATATGCCACACCTCTGTACTCACACTCATTTAACTGGCCTGCATTAACAGTTATGTTAACAACATCACCTTTCCAGCTCTTTTTGGTTTGCTTGAATTAATCACTATTTTTCCCGCTTCTTCCAGCTCCCATAGACTTCAGTGGTAAATATTAAAGATTATTTACCTGAAAACCACTCTTAAACCTATACAATTAAAACCTATACATTAAAATCTATAAAATGATAATTTAATGACAGATTACCTGTATGGGTAGCCATGGTATTTGGAGCGGAATATTGACAACAGGAAGCTGAAGAAAAAGACCACCAGACCCAGGCCTACCAGACATATTACTGGAAAGAAAATAACTTTGTTTATTAGCACATAAAAGGTTTAAAACTGCAATCTCTACAAAGAATATTATTTACGTCAATCATTTGTGGAGAATTTTGACACAGTTAAATAGAAAAATGTTCCTGCCTTGACTACTGATGCCCACTATCTTCTGACAGGATTTCAAACACATATGGAAATAATATCTATGGTTATTAAGAAAACATACCTTGTCAGTGTGAATGTATTTTCAAGAAAAAAGAACTGCAATTTGCAACTCAAATATCTGCAGATGCAAACACCTTACTACTGATAATGGATTTAATAACCCTGTAAATTATACATATCAAGCAATGTAATTTCAGGTATTTGCTTGGTTTTTTTGGAAAACAAATTACATTTAGAAAATATTCCTTCACTAATGGAATCATGTTCTCTCTAGTCAACCATCTAAGGCTGAAGTAACAGCAAAGGCAGTTTAGTAACTACTTAACAACATTATTAACAACATTAACCACTACTATCTAGTTCTTAGTGGCTAAAACATTTCACTGTTGTAAGTTCCAAGGCTGGCAGCCAAATCACTTCTTACTCTTAACTTCATAGCAACATATATCTTTATGTTTTGCAGATAAATAACAATGATGCAGACCTCCCAGTAGCATCCAGATGCAAGTACTTTGAGGCTTTTCAAGCAAAGAATGAATTAGCAAAGTAAATGCTGAAATTAACAAATAAAATTTGGAACACCAGTTGGCACCCTGTGTAATAATAGCATAAAACCTTTTTGATCATGATAGCTTGCTCAATTGCATGTAAATATATAAAAAAGGGCAACATTTTACAAGCTGATGCATATAATTGAGATGCAGTGAATCTACATTAGATAATGCTTTGGTTCTAGTGAGCTACTTTGATTTTAAAAGCTTATCTTCTACTATTCCTACTTTAGCGACACCTTTGCTATTTAATTGCAATATTCATGTTTTAAAAGAGTGCTGGTTTTGAGTGAAGGATAAGCAACCATGAAGCTGGGAAAACAGACAATGATGCATTTTTTCATTAAAACTGACCATGTGGAAACTGACACACGTCAGTTGAAATATAAAATTTTTGCGGTTACTTTGAGAAAACTAGCCATGTACAAATCTTATAAACATACTTCATTATAAAGAAATCACCACTCACAAATATGATTTCAAAGCATGGATGAATGCAAAGCATGAACAATGCAAGGCAGGTCGATGGAAATCATTCATATACTGGCCGCAAACAGTAGAGAATCTGAATTTGTACTGCAGCCCACTGTTATTTTGCTGTGTCCATGTTCACAGACGGAGATCTTAATCATTATCTAAGACCATATTCCAATTGAACTCATGTCACTGTCTCTTTTGACATCAGTATTAAAGGTAGATACTGTAAGAGATATTCAGAAGTAAATTATACATCTATACCTCATTGAAGGAGACCCTCAAATTACTATAGCTTAGAGATCTCTACCCAACATTCAACCAGTTATTATGAAGAATTGAATAGAAAATGCTTTTCTAGAAAACAGTTGGCCAGCCCTATCTGTAATACTGTGTATTACATAGAAGAAGCTAAAGAACTGATCTATAAAAATAAAGAGTAAGCAGTATAGGAAGTCTGTTATCCTTCAAAGGTCTTAAACACCTTATATGAGGAGTAAGAGCCAGGGTATACGGAAAAAAAAACATATTAAAAAAAGTACAAAGGCAGACGGGCATATGTCATACTCAGTAGAAGATTGTTCAACATAACAATTAGGAAGTTTAAATCTGGATAAAATCCATATTGTGTCTTTATGCAATTCATTGCCAAGAAATCTTGCAAATATTCTGAATGACAATAGCATTCAGAAAAACATAAAACTTGCACTTCAAGCTAAGAATCTTTAAACATTACAGATTAGGATATGTTCTGTACTACATCTACTGTTGGGCTTTCACCTTCCTCTGGAGACATGATACTGGCAATGCATACCAAGTAAAATAATTTTCTCACTCCTTTGGATGTTGTTATATTAAACGCCTAAATTCATTTTGAATACTATGTTTTCAAACTCTTGTATTTAATTCTGCTGACTTTCAACATAATTCAAGACCCAGAAAGCATTTATGCAGTACTACACAGTGGAGATACTGTGTCAAGCTGTACCTTGGCTGAGTATGCTTAAAACATTTTGAATGAATGCAGTTTTATTAGCAGAATTTTTATACTCACCTCTTCTCCACATCACAAAAAATAAAAATCGGTTTAAAGTAAAGACCTTCTGAAAATTTAAACTGACATTAATTTGCAATTTCTCAACATCTTCTAACTGTCTAAACATTGTCTTAGTTATTTAGTACAACTTACTTCTCCTTTTTCCAACATCCCCTTTGGAGGTAGCAGCTTCATTCAGGAGTACCATTCCCATGGTAATTGCAGCATCTGAATCATCGTCAAGGAAAACAGCAGATCTGTATATACCCACAAACCTACAAACTAAAGCTTTAAAGTTCATACAATGAAAGTAAGTATTTCTATATAAAACTGTGTATTGCAATGTGTACTGCAGCAATACACTCACCTGTGGTAAAAATGTGTAGTAATATTTTCCTTTGTGCATTCTATATAAAAAAGGAAAGAAGGTTCAAAAAGCTTTAAAGGACAAGTCAGCAAATTTTGGACAGCTATGGAAACAGCTATTCCCCAACATCTTGCAATATTCTGTATATTGGTAGTAAAGGATTTTTAAAAATGAAAACTATAAAACCAGAAATCATTCAGTGTTATTAAACACAATTCATTGGTTATTTGATGCAAACTGAAGTAGTTGGATTGCTTTATCTTCCACTGCTTTTAGATAAGACATTAGCTCCCTCTTTAGTGTCATATTGCTTAGTAGTTTAGCTGAGAAACATCTCAGAGGCAAAGTCCTCAGTCACTTTCAGTGTTTTATCGTCTCATTGTAACTGTTACAAATGTGAACAAGTACATAATGATAAAACAATTTAACTAATTTAGCAATATCTTAAACCATTCACTTAATTGTTCATTTGAAACTGTATAAAGAAAAAGGAACAGTTACTACTGTGCATAACATCTGTTTGGAAAAGGAGGCATGTCTGAACGCCATACTGAAGCAGGAGCACATCATGGAGCTATATCTCACAATTTCAGGAAATACAAAATTCACCAGAGTTAACTGATTCTTGAATAAGGTTGGATTTTTAAGCATCTCGGGACTAAAGAGCAGGATAACTACAAACTTTAGGAATGAAAAGATGTTTCTATTTACACACAGATAATGCACAGGAGATACTTCAAACATGCTACATCCATAAATATCTAAATCCTGTAACATTATAATTGCACTAATGCTATCCATATTTCATGTTCAAAATGTTCACGATTAGACAAAAATGCTCAAAGACATCTGAAATTTCATTTACACAATTTCAATTTAGCTAAGCCCGAGCAAAAGAATTTAGAAATGTCAATGCTAACATCATCATACTTCATCAGAGATTAGCAGCCTGATTCAGGTTTGAGAAAAGTCTAATGAAGAATAACAGGATTAATAAAAACAAACATAATTTTTAACACCCATGTTTGATACAGATATCTACAGTTCTAAATTAGACACTTACTAGAAACACAATAGTATTTCTCATGTATGCATACAAGGAATAATGCATAGTGTCACTCTTACGAATAAATTATTATATTCATGTTTTCCATAAGCTTATTATCGGACTTGATAAAATAATTAAAAAAAAATTGCAAAACATTGAGGAAAAAACCTAACCCTGGAATCCAGGAGACAATGCAATTTGGAAGGGAACATAAAAATTACTTTCTAAAAATTTTCCAGGTTCATGAGCATGAAAGACTAGAAATGTCCTGTGCTACTGCTATGCTTCAAGTAGGAAAAAGAATTGGAAAGAATGTCAAGAGAATCATTCACTTCTCTGCTTTCAAAAGTTACAAAAGCATAAAAATGAATTAATTGAGGAAGCTGCAACAAGAAGGGCTAAGGAAAAAAAAATCCACACATATCCTATTAAAAAAAGCCTCTAATGTGGCATTATCTAATAACTTTATTTTATCAATCCCTCACTTAGATCTATAGTACTGGTTTTGTTCTTAAGTTTAACATAGGAAAAAATCTCAGCCCAAAGATGCGAGAGTAACGCACTAGAGCCTCTCAGGGAAGTGCTACTTCTTGCAAAGGTTTCGTACTGCTTTGTAAATGGAATTTATTTGCTTGATTATCTCATGTGATATTGTACATAATGTGCTCCTTTCCTATTTCACTTACCTGGTTGCTTCTGAGAAACAAAGCAACCAATGAACCACACACTAAAAAGCCATCTGGTAGACAATAATTCTGTAACTGAGTTCCTATTTTCTTACCAGATCATGACTTTCAATTCACTTTTCCTACCATCAGGAAGAACAGTCCTACAAAAGTAACTCTTTACTCTGCAACTGAGAATTTTTGATCTGTAACCAGCTGAACCGTGCTGATTTTTTTTCCCCCCTCTCTTTTGGAGTCTCACATCATTACCCCTAAATCTCGCCTCACATTGTCACTATTTCTGCTTCAGTTGTTGCTTTCTAACTTTAGTCATTATTGTTGAGCTTTCAGCCTCACTGGTTGCCTTTTAGCTTCAATGACATCAGCTTCATAACTTCACACTCTGAACATGTCACTTGCCTCAGCTCTGTGATGTTGTAGTAAAAATTCAACCTTACCAAGTTAGGATTTCAATGCAATCACTAGCTTTTTACTACAGAATATATAGCTTATTATTTTTTGCTCCTTTTCCTAACACTGAATGTTATGTGTTTACATTATTTTCATATTCTACAAAATAAAGCAACAGTTCTAGCTGTGAAAATAATCTTTTACAGTATCATATTTCTCTGGCACTGCAGAATTTCAAATTTTGGCAAGTGGTTACTTGGACAGTTTTCTGTCTGCAAAAAAAAGAGATGGCATCAAAAGATGTACTTATTTTCTGATTCCTCTTTATCTCCCTCACTATGCATTAAGAAACTATTCTGAAAAGATGAGGGAATGTGGCACTCAGATAAACCATGGCTAGCAGATGTTTTAAATTCAGATGCTCATGTTTTCTGATGAATGTATCCCTCTGTAGCATTTTCTGTGTAAATCCAGTTGTATGTCTTCTCAAATTTGGAATGATTTCACTTTTACATCTTGAACTTCTGCTGCTCCTTTTCCCAGCTGGTCCATGCTTTTCATAGAAATGAACAACATATACCATTTAGTTAGTGCTTTTGAAAAGGTTCTGAATGTTTTGGTACATGAAAAACAGTTTAAAAGTAGAATGAAAAACACAGTGATCATCAAAATTCTTAAGATTGTTCAGAAAACAATCAGCAGTAACAGAGCACTGCACTGTCACTGTTTTAGCCCTGCAAAAAACAAGATTGGAAGTATTAAAAAAAACCTCACTGCCAAACGCAAAAAGATTGGATCAATAAAGTCCAGAATAACAGACACTTTACAAAATGGAATTGATTACTAGTAAATTCTGGATACTTTTTATTAGTATACTGTAATAGAAAATTTAATCACTGTTAATTCCAGCTAGAATGCCCCAAAGGAAGAAAACCTGATAGTTCCTAAGTTTATTAATGTGATATATAATTTATATCTTTACTTCGCAAGTGTAATTCTAATTAGTAATGAGTGGGTGTCTCTGTTTAAGGGTCAGAGAGAGAGGGAGAGCAGGATTTTCTCTCTATTGCCCCTACCCCTCCCAGGGGGAGGATTAAGAGAAGGGAATAGAGAGAGAATAATAATAATAATAATAATGATGATGATGATGATGATAAATTGCTCTGCACAAGGTTGGAAGTTAAAACTGTAACAAGTTTAATGAAAACAACAGGGGAAAGGAAAAGGGAATTATTAAGGGACAAAGGATAATTATATACAAAACCCGATCCCAGTAGTCCCGAGTGGAAATGTCCAAGCAGTGCCTCGTGGCCGCTGTGACCGCTGTGACTCGTCACCAGGGACCGCAGTGGTGCCGGGAGCGGATGGTGGTGGATGCTGCCGAGCACGTGGAGCTAGGCCCAGCCATCCCGAGATGCGACAGGAAGCAGCCCAGGAAAGCCAGGAAAAAGCCCGCAAAAACCTCGGTTTTTTATAGACTGTGGCTGGAAAGGGGAGGGAACAGTACTGATCTCTGACCCTCCAGGGTCCTACAGACACCACCTGTCCTTTCAGGCTGGTAACCCTTAAACCATAACAGTGGGGAATAAAAGAAGGAGAGAAAATAGGTTGAGTAACGGTTACCTTTGGGAATAAAGTTTGGTGATCTCATTCTTATTCTGATGAATTTCTGCCAGGAGTACAAAATCTGGCATTAGTATTATACACATAAAGAAACAACTACTTTTAGTTGTGGTTCATGCAGTTGCTTAATAACACATGAGCAATCAAGAGGAACAAAATATTCATCCACTTGAGTGTGTGCTCTGTTTACTGTCAACTAAAATAGGGGTAGATTACCACAAAAACTTCAAGAACTTGTGGTTCGTTTTATCATATATAAAACAAAAGCACGTACATTTTTTGTGAAGGTGTAATATGATCAAGAAGAAAATCTACAGTGTTTTGTCTTCTCTTTTTTTTTTTTTTGGGTGGAGGAGGGTGGTGACTAGAACATGAGAAATTCTTTGCTGGTTCCTTATGAGAGGGGCGTATTTTGGTAACTGAGAGATATTTGTTTTAGCTTTTTCCTACTAATACTTAAACCTTTAAAATACCTGCTATAATTTCAGAAATACTGACCACATTACAGCTTCTTTATCTGAACCATTTCACGTTGGATTTAACTTTCAACTTATATCTGAAAAATCCAAGCATAACATGTATTTCAGTCATTCTATTTAAGAAATATTCTTCAGATATGTGCAGTTTTTGAAGAAAAGGTATTAGCCACTTTTTCCAGCTTGAGGATCTGATTTTTTTATCATAGGGTGAAGAAACTAATCAAGAAAAAAGAGTACATTTTTTCAATTAAATAGGTCTCACGGTTTCTTTCAGGATGTTACTGAATGGATGTTCTTTCACTGTTGCTTCAGTTTAGGAAACAATGAGCAATGATTCTAATATTTCACTTATGTTATTCAATGTGCAATCAATTCTCAATTAGACCATAACCGTCCCAGCGGATGATTTAACAGGCCTTGAGGGCTGAGGAAGGAGGCACACTTAAGATACCAATCACTGTATGTCTCATCTCAGTCTGAAAAATTTAGTCTGAAAATTACTATTTGCATATGAATTTAATTTAATCATGAGTTGTATACAATCAACATGTACTTCAGTGTTTTTTAATGGCCTGAATTCTAGTTGTATTGATACTCACAATAACCCTGAACATTCTTTCAGCATAAACCCTTCT